TGGATGAAAACTACTTAGATAAATAGCAACGAATTTCTCGTCCTCGAATGACGGTCTTTCTGGGTGCTGGTACATGACATGCCCTGGTGTGTCCCATCTGCTGAATGAAGGGCCGGAGGATTAGGAGAACATGGTCCAAGGGCACCACTGGGTAGTGTTGGGAAGAGAGTTGGGGTGAACATCTAAGACTTACAAAGAAGTGAAAGAAGCAACTGAAAATCTCTGAGGAGACAAGACCCAGAGAAGAGATGAAAAATGGGTTTGTAGGGAAGCCTTCAAACCGGTCAGTTCAAAAAGATTTTTTTAACCTGATTTCTAGAGGAGAAAGCCTTGGGTAGCAAGGAGAAATGGTGTCCAGCAGATGCGAATATTCACTTCATAGTAGCCTTAAAAACTTCTCATTGCTTTAAAAAAACACAATTAACCATCCTCCAGTAACGTGCACCTGAACAGCCTGATGTGTGTGCCTGCTCCACTGCATCCCTCTGGTTTCCTCCCAGGAGGTGAGATTTGCCTCCCTTCCCAGCAGTGTGCAGTTACACCTTGCTAAGGGGGAAATCTGTGGCTGCCGCACCGATGACTAATTCCTGAAATCCCCCAACATTAGCTGCCACCTCTGTGATTGTGGCTACAGAAGAGATATTTCATATTTCAAGGATATCAGCGTGGGTGGTGTGGCCACATCCTCTTTTAAGTCATGCAGGAAGGCATCAATTACTCTCATGGGTTTCAATCTACAGTGTGGCAAAGCATGATTTTGCTAGTCACACCCAAGCTCACCCGCCCCTAGCCCGTTCCTGAAATATCCTTCCTCCCTATGCTCAGTGTTGCTGACTCCTGCCCATTTGGTCCCCAGCACCGGCTTTTCACCCCAGCTGTGCAAAGTAGAGGCAGGTGATAGGGCAGCCAGCGAAGCTGTGCTGAGCGATGCGAGACTCTCAGCCTGTGAGCCTTAATTCCCAAGGGAAGGAGACTCTGCTGTCCCCACTCACTGCAGGTGCACGTTTCCTTTGGGATGCTCCATGCATCACCAGGCTTCACTGTCTCTTCCCACTGGGTTGGGGTTTCCAGATTTTCTCCTATTAAACTTCATACCAGCTAAATAAAATAAAAGATCCGCAAATGCAGGTCAGCAAATGGCTGCCACACCCTTTGTGAAGATGTAATTGCACATAATCTTCATGCTTTACATCCATTAGTAGCTGAGGAACTATGTCATCTGTGCATGTCACTGCAGGTCAATGAAGCCAGGACTGTCCACCCAGTGATGTGGGCTGAATTCGGAAAGGCCGGCTTACCGAAGAGCTTTGGTCTAGTGTGTCTCTCTTAAAATCTGCACATCGACAAATCTTATGGCCTTTAGTCCAGTGCTGTCATCTCTCAGGGGGTCCTGGTGAGAAGATCCAGCCTCAAAGGGGAGGTGCTGCAGGCATTCTGATTTCTTAACTCTTCATTTCCATGTCTGGAGACCCCAAAGTTTCTCGGCAAGCTCTAGTAGAAGGTTTCTACTTATTTTCTTCATACCCACCGTTGGAAGGAGCCCAGTAGCTCTCCGGCTGATTTTGGCTTTCCCTGCAGCAAGGACAGAGGTTCCCCAGGTGTTACCAGGGACTCGGAGTGCAGTGGATGGCTCCTGCAGAAGCAGAGGAGGTGAGCAATGCCTCAGTCCACTCTCTGATATTGCTGTGGTTTGTGTCCCTGCATCTTTTGCACTGCAAATTGCCAGTCTAAAGCCAAACGATGGAACTGCCTGGTGGGATGGATGGGTAGGGAGCAAGGGGTATGCGTGCATGCGTATGTAAGCTCAGTGCGTGTCCCATGTGGTGGCTGTTGCAGGCTGATGAACCGGTGGCACTGGTGACAACTGACCTGGTGAGCTGGCAGTGCCACAGCAACTGCGCCCAGGAACCAGCTCTCTCAACTCTTTTATAAAGCCGATTTGATTTTTTTCGTCTTGCTTATCTGCTTTGTGTCCAAGAAGGGGCAGACATCAACATCAGCAGAGGTTGCGCGATAAAGAAAACCCATCCACACTGACCTCAGAAATTTTTATTTAGTTAGTTTATAGAAGGGCTATTTATCAGTATTAATCTAACACTGTTATCAGAAGATACTCATGCAGCCTCCTGGAAGTACCTGGTTATGTGTAATATGCCACATATAAATAAATGCCATTGTAAATGTCGAGTCATGCAGGAAGATAAATAAATTAAATTTCCTGGGCTCATTAGGGCTGAAAGCTGGGCTTTTATAGCAGGATGAAGAGAATTGCACAATGCAGCTCCATATGGCTTATGAAATGTGTATGAAAACCATTTTCTCCCACCCATCCTAATTATGATATATAAATAGATTCACTATTTTCCTTTGAGCACTTACTCAGCTGGAATCTTTTTTTTTAAAAGACCAGCACAATCACTTGTATGATGCATTTCCGCAGGCCCTTAAAAGATCTCTAAATCAAAATGCAATTATTTATAGCAATAGCATGACCTTTCACTAATTGGGAAAGAAAATGTTGCACAATAGGTGACAGTTGCCATGAGTGCTTGGTGCTGTCAGAAGCCGTTTCGGCATTTGGCTTTAAATTGTAGCTGAGATAAGTGTTTAAATAATGTGTAATAAGTTATTAAATGATGCGTATATATGAGATTTTGTGGGAGCGTGAGCATGCTTATGGAAGGAGAGGAAGGTTTGCCCTACTCGTGGACAGACAGCAGACTGGAACCAAAGCCCCGTTTTTCACCCAAATTTTGGTGGGGCCAAATTCTGGTGGGCTGTATCTGCTAGACTCATGTGAACAGGAGGAGACAAGAGAGGCGGAGGAAGCGGGACGCCAGAGCAGTAAGGATGAGATGTATGTCAAATATATATCTTTTTATTATTCAACATTGAGACTGCGGTAGTGCTTAGAGGCTGACATTTCAGACCTTGTTATACAAGCTACCATAAACATAGTGCGCGGGACAGTCCTGGCTCCAGAGAGCAAGGAAAGCCAGGCTGTGGGACCCACACACAGCACAAACAGAGGGTGCTTTTCCAGCCTGTCTGTAGTCCAGCAAGACCCTCTCTACCCAGAACCGGTGGGTGACATTCACCAAAACAGGCTGGGAGGGGTAGAAGAATTGGCACTTTGAAGGAGTACGTAGGACTATATGTGGCAACGCAGTAAACAACAGCCAGAGACAGAATAAATGAGTCACTTTTCTAGCATATTTGAATACTGTTTAAATATAAACATTGCAAATGAATATCTCTAACTGAGAAAAAAATAAAATTGGATGCGAAAATACATCAGTGGTATACCGCATATGTGTATAAATACATTACATGGTTTGCACAGTCATTATGCGTCTTCCTTCCGGACCGACTTTCTACAGCCTGATACAGAAGTTGAAACAGAGAAAAACAGAAGGGAAAGGTCTTCAGCTAAACACGTTGTTGTTTTGGCAAGTGATTCAATTCAAAAAAACCTGGGCTGTAAAGCAAAAAACAGTTTCACAACAGACCCACCTCACAGCAAGAGGGGAAAGAGGGAGCAGGAACTGGTGGTGCCTACAGGGTGCTCAATATGTTTCAGTGGCATTTGAGACCAGTTCCACCACCCGTTCAAAGCCTACGACGTTAATGGGGTCCGGAAAATCCTCTCCTCAACAAGAAAGGCTTAAGCACCCTTAAGCCAACAAGAAGGGCTTAAGCACCCTTACAACATCCAAAGTGCTGTACTAGACGCCGGTGCTTAGCCCACAGTGTCCGTCACAAGGGGCGGTTTGCCCCTCACCCTCTGTTAGCGGGGTGTCACTCCAGGGTGGGCACACCAGCCAGGATCACCGCACAGGGGCTGGTGGCTGCCGGGGGGTTGGGTGCTCCCACCTCACGGAGGTGAAGGAAGCCCACGCTGCCCTGGCCAGAGTGCTGCCGTGGGGCCAGCCGGGGCTCGTCAGGGCCAGTTCGGAAACCCCAATGCCCTGGGCAGAGCGTGCAGCCAGGGCCACTCCAAGCCCAGGTCTGTGGGCGCTGCTGCATGGAGAGACGGCAAGAGTCCTGCCATGGCTGAGCAATAGCTCCTCTGGACCTCAAACCTGGTGCCTCTCCCATCAGGCCCACACAGCTGCCCCTGCCCGGCTCACAAGGCGGCAGATAGGGTGCAAGCATGCTCACATGGGACTTTTACAACAGCCTGGAGAAGAGAAGGCTCCGGGGTGATCTTATAGCAGCTTTCCAGTACCTAAAGGGGGCCTACAGGAAAGCTGGAGAGGGACTTTTTACAAGGGTGTGTAGTGATAGGACAAGGGGCAATGGATTTAAACTGAAAGAAGGGAGATTTAGATCAGATATAAGGAAGAAATTCTTCACTGTGAGGGTGGTGAGGCACTGGAATAGATTGCCCAGAGAAGTTGTGGCTGCCCCATCCCTGAAAGTGTTCAAGGCCAGCTTGGATGAGGCTTTGGGCAACCTGGTGTAGTGGAGGATTTCTCTGCCCATGGCAGGGGGGTTGAAACTAGATGATCTTTGAGGTCTCTTCCAACGCTAACCATTCTATGATTCTATCTCTAAATTTTAGCTTCAGTTTTGTTTTCCCTCTGTTTCCTTAGAAGACACAAAGCTACATAGGAGGTTTCTGCTCAAGCTGGGGAGTCAGCGATGTGGCCTTCATGGCGCCCTGTGAGGTAGACGGAGGTCAGAGCACCAGGGCACTGTCCAGGCACAGAACGTGGTGGCACCAAGGAGACCTTGGAGGGAGTCTGTGACTGTTGTGAGGAGCAGCCCTGGTCCTTGCCAGCACCACTCCTTCCATGGGTGCCCCCATGGGTGCCCCCTTTTCCCAGCTGGGCAGCGAGGACAGTGATTCCCATGGAGATGCTGAGCGCTGGATTAGGACAAAGTATTTTCCGTAGGAAAAAGTGGCAGTGTGCGCTGTGCATTGCTCCAGGGCACAGTCTTCATCCCCAGCTTCGCCCACAGCCTGGCACAAGTTGGGTGCTGAGGGGTACCTTGGCCTAGGACACGTTTATGTTGGAGAAGAGCGGGGCCTCGGGCAGTGTGGACGCCGTGCTGTCTGCCAAGTAGCCCAGGATGCTTTTGAGTTCACTGCGTGACAAGTTGGCTTTGATGTACAGGAACGCTTCCAGGTGCCTCTTCCTGTGGAAGAGAAACGGGCAGGTGTTATCCTCTCCCACAGATCTCCGTGCGCCAGGTCCCTTGCACCGGGATCTGGCCCCTGCCCCGTTGGCAGTGCTGAGGTCCCCAGAGGATGCCAGCTTGGCATCTGGTGATCCTACATGGGACCCAGCACTGTCCTTGGAGGTTTGGGGTAGGGGAGGGAATCGCCAAGGCAAAGGAGAAAATCAGGCCAGAGTTTGGAATATATAAATAGGCCTTTTTTACTTATTTATTTTGTTGTTCGACGGCACTGGGATTGCCACAGCCTGGGAGGCAGCCCTCGCCATTTTTATAGGCTCAGGCTACATGAACCTCTTATATTTAACTGTTTTCTGGCTCAAATAAAATTCCATACAAGTATTTGCAAATCTGTTTCAGCATCCCTTACCGGATATCTGGGTATGTCGTGGCAAGCGTTGCAACTTCAATTTTAATAGCACCTAAATCCTGAAGTCGGATTATTTCAGCCAGTTTGGGGAGCGCTGAATTCAGCCACGTGGCTCGAGAGCCCTGCCAGAAGAAAAAGTGGTCAGCAAAGCTCTGCCCAGCCCAGGAGCTGTGTTTCACCAGGGCTGCCACCCAGCCGGCTCCTGAGGCTGGTTCCTGGTGATGGGGAAGGACGCGGCAGCGATTTTAGGTGCCTCATTGTTTTCAGTGACGTTTTTAGCCTAGGCCAGCCTTGGAGAAATTGGATTGGTTTTGTGGTGGTTTTTAATCCTCTTACACAGCTGGCATAGGGTTTGCCATAAGACTGAGGTTTCCACATCCACCTCGACAGGCTCTCTGCTCTTCCCTCCCACCACATTTTCCTTTCCTTGGGTTTCTACACTGCCTGGTGCATGCATGAGGACTGATGGGCAAGGAAACGCACTGCCGCGTGCTGCTGTCCCCCAGCTCCGCACGCGACGTCGCCTTTGACATCTCCAGGCCTTGTCAAAACCCTCTCTCTGCCCACTGAGGTAAAAGCCCCAACTGGACCTATTTTCTGGCCATTGGATCTGCCAAGGCACCGGCTGCCTGATCTCCCAGCCATGCCAGGTGATGCTCAGGCTTGTTCCTTCTCCAGTCAATTGTACATGGGGTGGTGGAGGACAGGGCTTGGCTTAGCTTTGCAGGTAAACTTAGAGGTGTGAAAGGAGGGAGGTGATCTCAGAGGACAGAGAGGGGTGTCTCAGCCACATAGAAAAAGCAAAGATCTCTGGTGGAGGGAACACCTGTGTAGCAGAGACCCAGCGCTGCCCGTTTCAGCCCCTGCCTGACCTAAAAGCAGCAGAGCGAGGGAAATCAAGGGCGAGGGAGAAGAGCCAAAACCCAGACTCCACACAAGTTGTACTGAAACCAGAGCAGTGTGGTGTTTAGCTACATCTTCTGACCCTATTACTATAAATCTTCAAAAGGAAACCACAGCCTACGGGACAAAGGAGGGTGAATCACTCTGCATCCCAGGGAGGGCAGGCTGGAGGCAGGGGAGCCTTCCTGCCCACAGGCACTTGAAGACCTCTTTCTGCCTAAGGTCTTGCCTTCTAGAAAATTAAGCTGAGTTGGAAAGGTTAACGAGAGGCTCCAGAAAATTCATTTTTCTGTTTTTCAGTGTGCCTGTGCCCTGTGCTGTCACAGACACAGTGAGCACTCACGTACATTACTGGCACAGAAGGCTTCCAGGTCGGCAGCATTCTTAGAGATGTTTTGGGCCAAGTTTTGCTGCTGTGCTGGAGTTTTCAGGCTGACTTTCCTCTTCAGCAGCCTCACGATGTACTCTTTCACCAAACGGGCATGGATCTTCTCAACGATAGCCTGTTGGAAAGGAGAGGGGAGCTCATCTATCTTTTGCTTGGGGACAAAACAAACCACATGTGTGGATGGTGGACAAAAACATTTTCAGTGTTGTAAAACATGCCCCACGAAACGCCTGTTGCTGATCATACGTGAGGAGCGGCGCTGGTTGCCAACCTCCCCAGGACTGGTTACATTACATCCTAAATGCCAAGAATTTCTTTGTACTCATACTAATGAAGCATGGGAATTTCCAAATGTTGTTTCCTTCTGGGAAGAGTTGAAGGCATAAAAAAGATCTAATGTGTTTTAGAGAAGAAGTAGCAGTGCTCCAGAAAAACAGGAATTCATGCTGCTCATCCTGTTCCTCTCTCTAATACACAAACCATGATAATTTTAGTTTGGCTACTAAAAAGACAAAGGCAGGAAATCAAAGATTTTTTTATATGGTAATGTTTCACATATACTCCAGCACCTCTGAAAATGTGATTGTGGCTCAGTTATCTGCCATTTGTCCCAGTTGCATCCACCTCCTCTGATCCTTCGGGCAATCAAAAGAGCCATGAGACAGAACCGTGCGATTGCATCTGTGTTTCAAGATTGCTAAAGCAAACCCACACATAAATAAAGCCGTATTTTGGGTGATCCCTAGAGCATTTTCTCTACAGCAAGGGTGTTTTTCTCTGCAAACACTGCAGCAGAGCTTCAGGAGTCTGCTTCTGCTGGAGAAGAGTAAGATTTATACGGGTAATCTAAGTAAACTTCATGCTAATGGAAATCCAGCCTGAGATGGCTCTCTGACACCAGGCCAGCTCGCCAGCTTAACATGGGTCAAGGCAACTCGAGTCGCAGAGGATCAGAGCTGAAAACGCATCCTCAGCGTCCCAGAATCCCTCTGATACTTCTCTTTGACTTACATGGTAGAAAGGGTCCTTTAGGGTCCGGAAGTCTGAAATGTATTTGCTGGTGGTTTTAATGATCTCGTTCATAACTTCATTGCTGGAGTCCCACTTATTTTCGGTAAACTTCTTATAAATTGGCTGAAAAATGGAAAATCTTCTTAGTTCCCTCAAAACGAATTCTTTGCACACATATATTTAGCATTTCTATATGTACAGTATCCTACGTAGTGACACTGCAGCATGCAGCCCTGTGCAGGGATGTGTGACAGCAGGGGAAGAGGGGGATTTGTTGGGTTTGTGCCTCATCTTGGTTCCTCATGATGAAGATGACCAAGAGCTTGAAAGGTTCATAATGGAGATGATTTTTTTATTTCCACATTTTTAATGTTTTGTCCAAACCATAGAATCATAGAATGCTTTGGGCTGGAAGGGACCTTAAAGATCATCTAGTTCCAACCCCCCTGCCATAGCCAGGGACACCTTCCACTAGACCAGGTTGCTCAAAGCCTCATCCAACCTGGCCTTGAACACTTCCAGGGATGGGGCATCCACAACTTCTCTGGGCAACCTGTTCCAGTGGCTCACCACCCTCATTGTAAAAAATTTCTTCCTTAGATCTAATCGAAATCTACCATCTTGTCTGATTAGAGAATTATGGAACCATCAGGGAAAAAAATGAATCATTATGAGATGTTTTCAATCACAATTTTTCTTGGCCATAGTAAATAAATATGAAAAGAAAAAAAGTCCTCCTGCCCTCTCAGATGCCTTCCAAAAGGCCCTACAGAAAAAGCAGGAAAGACTGTGGCTGAACATTCCTGATTCCTATGCCTTCCCCTCCACCACTCTTGCTTAACTTTAAAAGTTTGTGTTTAATACATAAAAAAAAAAAAAAGGAAAAAAGAAAAAAGAAAAAGAAAGAAACCCAAAGTGCCTTTCAGGTCACCTTTATGAAGGAGCCAAAAGCTATGTAATTGCAGTTCACGTAAATTGTGATTGCTTCCTACAGTTTGGAGTGTAAAGACTTGCAAGTTGAGACTCTCCCTCAACTCAGTGATCTTAGATGTGATCAGATGTGTTTTTTGTTCTGCACAGTCATGCCCATGTACCTGCACCTGTTTTGCCCGCAGGCTTGAGGAACAGCTCAAGGAGAGGTGATCCAGAGTTTTCCGACTGAGGCTGAGAGGTGACCTACACCACAGCCCTTCTGAACTCTTCTGCACTTGAATCAGAGATTTGGGCAACCGATAGCAGGGCAGAAGAATGTGCCCGGCACTGGCACAGGCTGAGCCGTGGGGCAGGGCGTGTGGGGCGCGGGTACGGTACCTTCAGCTGCGCAAACAGCTGTTGAAGCAGCACGTCAAAGCCGCTGTTTTCGATGTCGCCCAGAGTGCTGAGGATACTGGCTTTACTGTCGTCCTTTTCTGCCATGTTTTTCTCCGTATAGTCTCTGCAAGGAAATACCAGTAAGGTCAGAAAAATCTGTTCTCCAGAGAGAAATTCGGAGGTCTCCAAACCTTCCTCTGCAGGCGGATGGACCTTCCTCTGCCCTCTCTGGAGTACCTGCCCGCTACCACACTGTTAAACATTGCCTGCAGAGGAAGGAGCAAAGCCTTTTGTTTCGGACCCTTACCTAAAATTCCAGCAGTTGTTAATATTTGCGATCAGTATAGGCTTGTAGTATCTATGCTTCCTGCCTTTCTCCTTAAAGTCTTCGAAAGCATCCTTGTAGCTGGAGGGAGATGGGAAGAGGAGAGGTGGATGAGTGCCAGCCCAGGTGGCTTGGGCAGCCCGGCTGTCCAGGACCTTTTACCGCACCTTTTCAGGAAGGCAGGCAGCTCTTTGGACAGGCGATGTGACAGCTCCTCACCCACTGCTGCACTGATGTCCTCGGCTCGCTTCTGGCCGCTGTAGATACTCTAGAAAAAAACAAACGAGACCAATTTTAAATGCTGCCTACTCCAAAATGACCAGGTTTGCTGGTTAAAAAGGCTACAGATCCTCAACTGAGGTAGCTGCGCCCACGTCTCCTGCATCCCCCCGCTGGGATGGAGCCAGGGACTGGGTAGAGCAGCTATACTTATTTGGTGTGCTCAAGCCAATTTTGAACTCCATTTTCAAATGGGAAAAGAGGTGAAGAAGAAAGAAGCACTAAAGAATGTCTACAAAATAGCTGAGAAAGTGGGGAAAGCAACACCTGGCTTCTTGTACTTTTTTCACTGTGTATCGTATGATTGCATTAAAAAAAACCCCAACAATTTAAGCACAGCCGCCTCAATATATGAAGGGTTTGTTTTTTAAAAATAAACTCTACTAATCCTCCACAGCTAGAGAGGGATTGTTGAGGGTGGGGAAAGAGCATGAGCACTGGGAGCAGCTCTGCTCGTGACAGCCTCCCCAGGATCAAGCAGGGCATCAGCACCGCGCTGCCTCCTCGCTCGGCTAAACCTCTGTCTTGGCTCTCTGCTGCTACATTACCCAGTGCCTAACAGCCCGGCTTCGGCTGGGGGTGCAGAAGAGACCGCACAGGGAGAAACGAAGGCAGCTTTCCTGCTTGTTTTGCTTATAGAGGAGTTTGTGTCCACCACACGCTGACCAGGACGACCGTGCCAGACCTCGGGTTTGGGCTCCCCTGTAACGCTCGCCTCTGCTACTGCCCTACGCAACAACTTGGCTTTTTGCTTTCCTAATTTGACTATAGTTAGTTTCAAATCCTAAACACAGAGAGGATGCAATTGTTTATTTTTAGTCTATATCTATATTACCTGGATAACAAATATTGCGAGTAGTTCGCTCTGAAAATGCCCATTTATTTTCTCTGGTTCTTTGTCTTCTTTCCATCTTTGGATTTCTTTATCTAAACATCTGGTCAGTGAATTTTTGATAGTAGCCTTTAGGGAACAGAGAACAACAGCATTTATCACAAAGTGGATGCAGCAGCTCCTGCCTTAAGCAGGTTTCACTCACCCACCCTCTGTTTGTCCATCTGAGCAGACTTTTTCCTCAGCCCTGGCTGAGAAATAAAGGCTTTTTGTTACAAGACACTTTACCCACCGCTTCACGGCAGGAAGGACAACCCCCTCACAACATCCATCTACGCAACAGTGAGTTGAATGTTTCAGCGCAGGAATGAAGATCAAGATCCACATCCCTGCCCACCACCCTGCCACGTACGTCAGCGGTGATCTTGAGGGCAGGGGTGGGGAAGGTCACTGGTAGCTACACGTACCAGAGCCCAAATTCCCCCAGCCATGCATTGCCTGTGCGCCACGCTCCATGCTACCCTCTGGGCCTGGCTTTGCAGTCCTTTTCCATGAGAAAAATCCCTTTTCTGATGCCTTACAAGCGCTGGAGAGTCAAACAAAGCGTTCTCAGTTTTTCTCTGCTCTGACCCCTCTTGCGTGCATGCGGGGCAGAAGGGCTCTCAAAACGGTGTGCCCGGTGGCTGGCACATCTCTCTGATCACCAAGTGCCTTGTCCAGGCGCTTTGCAGCCCTCACACCCGTCTCTCCCATCTGCAAACCATCACGGGCTACAGCTAAACCTGGAACTTGTCTTCTCATTTTCTGGGAATTCCAGCCCAAAATGCCAGAAGCACTAAGCTATGGGAGTACTGTAAAAGTTGCTTCTTTTTTCCATTAACACAAAAGTGATCCAAGAACCAGAGCAACTGTTATTTTCTGCAGATCAGGCGATTCGCCATCAAAGAGACACATTTTTCAAGACCAGACATGCATGCTTTGCACTCATCCAAGGTCTGGCACCGCTGCAGAGACCAGAAGTAATTCTGAATCCATTATCTGTGAGAGGGAGCATAAATCCCTCTGGGGATTTAGCAGACCACCGGAAAGTAACCCGTAAAGATTTGTTGTTGGATTTTTCCCCACCTTCCTATCACAAGGTCTGCAAGCACAGAACAGTTCCTTTGGGATGGTTCCCAGGGCAGAAGGCTGAGCTAAGCAGAAGTTTGCTCTGCAAGTCCCATCTAGCAGAAAACCGACCTGTCCCCAAAAAGAAACAAAAGCATTCTTGCTTTTGCTTCTCTTGGAAAGGTGTGTGACTCACAGCGGAGAAGTGTGCATGCAGGGACAAGTCAGAGCTCCTCCAAGGAGTCGTATGAGAGCAGTAAAGGGAAGAGGAGGGACTGAACAGATTCTCACCTCTTCACTGTCAAGGTATTTCTTTTCAAGTTCTTTGCTCAGACTTGATGGCAAAAGGCTTCCAAGCTTAACTTTTTCCAACTCTTCTGCTAAAACATGATCTTTTCTCATATGTCTGGAATGAGAAAGCCAAACAAACACATTTTCCAAGGGCAATGTAATTCAAGACAGCTGTTGATGCAAATCACTAACACTTTTTGAGGATATGAGTGAAAAAAACAGATGGAAATGTACATTGTGCACCCTCAGCAAGTTCGCCGATGACACCAAGATGTATGGTGCCGTCGACACGCTGGAAGGGA